CTATAGGTAATGTTGGTCAAATGACAGGGATTTGGGAGTTCTAGTGTTAATACTGCTCTATTGTTGTAATAGTATGCATTTTTGTGTCAATAACTGTATTGGCAATGTGGCCTCTTTCTGCACACATACAAACCAACCCCTGCCACCACCTTCTGCCACAGCTCCATTGGTCTAATGGTCTATGTCATGGACTTTCATGTGGGAGATCAGGGTTTAAAACCCAGCTACAGCAACTTAAACAAAAAATCTATTTCTTAAAACTTCATATTGTCACACAATTACCTTAATTACAAACACCTGCTGATGTGACAGACACGAGCTGGTATAGCAAACACATTTGAACTTGGTCAAAGTTCATTCTCAAAGTTCTTTCTGCAAGTCCAATGCTGCAGGCAAAGCCATGCTGCAATGACATGCTACGTGGCAATGCACACTTGTTTTTACATCGTAAAAACCCATGTCTAGTTTGTTCTGTTTTTCAGACCACAACCTGAACAGTTCAGATTTGTGAGGAGGAATGTTTGCTCCTCAGTTTGTGAAGGTTTCTTCAGTCAGGCTGAGGTCTGGATGTTGACCGGACCGTTGCAGCACCAATCTGTTGCAGTTTTGCTGACACGTTCGGGTGATTCACGAGTCCCTTCAGCTGTCGGGCAGATGGCCTTCACTAAGTTTCAAACTTCTCTCAGAGAGAGTCTTCTATTTAAAATGTATGGAAACAGAATAAGAAACTGTTTTCTGCATTCTGTTTGATAATAAAAACCAGATATTAAGTCACGTTGCCGAACATCTGAGTGTTGCGCTTAATTTAAATGACTTTCTGCTGGAACAAATTGTGTTTGAAAAGTAATCATGGAGTCTAAAAAAGGAGCTTATTTCTGACAACACAATCTGCTCGTAATCATTTAGAGCGTGAGTGTGGAATCATCAGTTTTCTGTCTCTGGCTTGTTATTTATTTAGAAAATATGAAACCAAAAAAGAAAAAAAAAGAATTGTTGATTTGTTGCTGTCCGGGAGAAATAATTTTGTTTTCATTTCTGTTTTCCTGGATGTCCACATTTCCTAAGAGCAACATCAACACACAAAATGTGATTTTTCTTTTTGTCCCTCAGTACACACGTCTCACAATCCTGTGGATAGGAACTCATAGTTGGTACACAGACAGACACTCCTGCACACGTTTCAGAATAATAAAACAGTTTGTCTGTACAGGTGTCAGATCAAAGTATTCCTGTCCGTTTCAGTGTGAACCTCAGACGTATGTGTCGGCACAAAGCGGCCAGTGTTTGAGCAGATGTGGACAGGAGCCGTGTCAGAATGAGGGCGACAACCACTCGATAAGTTTGACTGAGCAGCTTGTTTGTTCCCTGCAGCTTGTCTCTAATCCTCTGGCTCTTGTGTTGTGTGTTTACAGAGGAGAGGACACCGGACTGACACATCCATCCATCCATCCATCCATCCATCCATC